CAGAGAGGCATTCTGATTAAGCTTGTGTGGTTCTCCCTATTGATATTATAAAGAAACATTCAAAAATTGAAAATATTGAAGCAAGACGATAACATGCACTAGTTTTTTTTAGTCTAGATCCACTTTGTTGCAGGACTGAGACAAGGACATAAAGGCACATTTTCACACACATCCTTCTGTAGAGCCACTTCACTGGGTTGATATGCTGAGGGCACTTGTAGCGTACAGCTGTGGGTTATTAGGGGGATACACTTGTATAATGTTGAGAAATTACTTCACTTAGTCTGTGTCTCATCTGTAAAATGGGGAGGTAATACCTATTCTGTTAATCAGTGGTGAAAATTAAATGGCAGAACATGCCAAATGCTTACTTAGCACTTTGCTTGGCATATTGTAGACTACAAATGTGAGCTTCTGATCCTGGAATTAACAGTGAAAAGAATAGTTAGAAGAGCTGTGTGCTGGGTCACCCTAGTCATTTCACATCTTCCTCTCTAATTATTTCTTCTACGTATTCCTCTAATTTTGGGCAGAGGATAGGCATCTAGGATGAGGAAAAAGTTTCAAGGGGTCAAGGGGAGGTATGGTGGAGGGAGGTGGACATCAAAAACAAACCTCTTCCTAGTTCACTATGTTGCCCAAGGCTGGCAATTCAAAATCAGTCTTGTCACACTGCCTTTTCCTGATACAAGTGAATTACAAATTTGTGTCACGTATAGATAGTGGTAGTAAATTTGCTTTGTGCTATAAGATTATCAGGATGATTACAGTGTGTTTGGCTGACTTGAATAGAGGGCAAGCAAAATGAGAGTAAAACATTCAAGTGTAAGTGTAGATCCCTCTCATAAAAGCTTTTAACCCAGTGTTGTCTTTATCTAGCCTTTGATAACTGGTATCTTCCATTGATGCTTTCTATTTTTTTTTTCTTCAATAGGAAACTTGTTTGTAGAAATAGCATTTGGAGTTAAACCTCTCCATTTATCAAAGACCAGGGCCTAATTTCATTTCATTTATCTGGGCTTTAGTTTCTCCATCATTATGAGTTTGTTTTTTGTTTTTTCTTGGTTCTAACATTCTGTGTGATTCCTGTGTACCTTCACTATCTATCTATGTCATGAATTATAAGGACACTGATAATACTTTGAGGAAGAGTGATTGATGTTTACTGTGCACACAGGACCAGTCAAGATTAAAGGAAACTCCTTTAGTAGTAGTTTGTGGCCTGTTTCTTAATATAATGCTTAAAGGACTCTGAAAATTTTCCTCTCAATAAAGAGAAATAACTACACTTTTCATGATGATGCAGGTGCATGGTAAAATGCCTGCCCCTATATGAAAATGGTTATACGGTTTCCTCACCTTTTTTGGCCATCACTTCCATTCATTAGTCAACATTAGTTCCTTTACTTATTTGCTGCACTGTAAAAAGCAAAGTGGAAATCAGATGACCAAATTTATAAGGTTAATAAGTTTTAAAATTACAGTAAGCTTTAGCCCAAGGATGGGTCTCTACTTCTCGAAGCTTTGTGCAACTATTTTCCTTGGTGCTTGAAAACTCTCCATTGGTGGATTTGTGTTTATGTGTCATGTGGTGGATGGATAGTGCCTGATCCACCAGATCAGGCCTCCATGTTCATGAAGTGTTTCTGATTAAGTCATGGATCCTTTGAAAATCTATTTTCTAGCTTTCATATTTGCAAGTCTTATAAAAAAGTTATTTTGTTCACAAGTTGCTTTTATTCAGAATTTTTGATAAATCTTTTGCCCGGACCAGATTAAATTACTTCTTGTTCATGCTGACCTGGAAAATAATGGCTTCACTAAGAACCTTTCATGTTTAAGTTTCTTTCTTAAGACAGAGTGTGTTAGTTCTTTTTATAAACACCATTAGTAAACATCTCTGTATCATAAAGGAAGAATCCTATAACTAAAAACAAACCTAGGAAGGTATATTCCTGCAATACTAATTGTTTATGTATTATTCCATTGGTTTTGCTTTTTCCATCTGTGAGCTAATTTCTATCTTTTATGTTTTTCATTATTTAATGTTTTAAATGTATCCCAACTACTGTGATATTGTGACTTATAATAAGAAATACATATCTGGTCTTCGTCCTGTTCCTGGCACAGAAGTTTAACACCTTTGGAATTTCCTAAGTGATAAGTGTGATAAAGGTATCTTTTGAGCCTATGTTAATGAGGTGACTTTTGGAAAGCTCCTAGGTAACCTAAGGATAGGGGCTGGTTGCTAGAGGAGGCAACCATGTGATTAAAGGGTTGGAACTTTCAGCAACCCCCAAAGGAGAGGGGCTGGAGACTTCAGTTCCATCACCAATGCCAATGATTTAATTAATCATGCCTATGTAATCAAGCCTTTATAAAATCCCCAAAGGACACAGTTCCTAGAGCTTCCAGGTTGATGAACCAAGGAGATAGGGGAAGAGTGGTGGGCCCAGAGAGCATGGGACCTCTGCACCCTTTCCCCATGCCTTGTCCTATGCATCTCTTCCATCTGGCTATTTCTGAGTTAATATCCTTTTATAATAAACCGGTAATCCAGTAAGTAAAATGTTTCTCTGAGTTCTGTGAGCTGCTCTAGCAAATTAATCAAACGCAAGCAAGGAGGGGGTCGTGGGAACCTCCAATCTATAGCCAGTTGGTCAGAAGTACAGGTGATAATCTGGATTTTCGACTGGCGTTTTTAAGGGGGGCAGTCTTCTGGGACTGAACTTTTTTTTTTTTTAAAGATTTTATTTATTTATTTTTTCCCTCCAAAGCCCCAGTAGATAGTTGTATGTCATAGCTGCACATCCTTCTAGTTGCTGTATGTGGGACGCGGCCTCAGCATGGCCGGAGAAGCGGTGTGTCGGTGCGCGCCCGGGATCCGAACCCAGGTCACCAGCAGCGGAGCACATGCACTTAACCGCTAAGCCACGGGGCCGGCCCTGGGACTGAACTCTTAACCTGTGGGATCTGACACTATCTGCAGGTAATTAGTGTCAGAATTGAGTTAATTCCTTGGTGGTGTAAGGAAAAAATTCTGACACATCTGAATTCGTGTCAGAATTGGGGAGGCACACATTAACAACTTACTGTGCTGTTTCAAGTTGTTTATTTAGTTTGGCAGTATACAAAATTAAGTAAGAATTCTACTTTCTGGGAAGCTTTCAAATACTATTACAATTGATTGATCCTCACGTGTAAACAGGTTGGTTATCGTGTTGACTTTTACATATAATTCTTATCCAATTTCTCTCTCCTTTCCTTGGAGACCTGTCCCACCTTTCCTCTTAGCAATCTCATACAGAAATTCTGCTTTTGCTTATTTTATGGCCTCGCTCAGGGGTCAGCAAACTACTGCCCACGGGCCATATCTAGACCACTGCCTGTTTGTTGTATGCCCTGTAAGGCAAGAATGGTTTTTATAGTTTTAAATGGTTGAAACAAAAATCAAAATAATAATATTTTGTGATATGTGGAAATTATATGCAATTTAAATTTTATTGTCCATAAATAGTTTTATTGGAACATAGGCATGGTCTATGGCTGCTTTCTCGCCATAAGAGCTGAGCTGAGTAGTTGCAACATAAACCATATGGCCCACAAAGCTTAAAATATTTACTATATAGCCCTTTACCAAAAAATTTTGCTGATTTCTGGCCTACCTGATTGTTTGCATGTGGTGCTGTCCCTTCTATTCCTTTTCCCTATGAGATTATATTTAGATAATACTTGTATGCATACAGCTTTTCCTGAACTACAAAATCCTCCTGTCTTGTTTCTCATCTAATCTATCTATCTAATGATAGGTTCCAGAGATCAAATAGTCTCAATCGAATTAGGAATATCTGATCAAGTCTGGGGCATTATGTTCCCCATAATAACTATCCTTCGCAATCCTATTTTTAGATACCCAAAATACTAATATATACCAATTAATGAGAGAAAAACATTTGTCATTGACCAATTTTTATTTATTTAGCCTAGCTCTGTAGTTTCAAATAAGGAGTTAAAGCTGGATTAATCTTTGGTGTTGTGGCTGAAACTTTGTCATGTTATCTATCTTTACAAAGGAGAACTAGACCAAAATGCTATGTTCAAGCAATCCTCTCAAGTATTAGCAGCCAGGAATCACTTTCTTGTTCGTTAGAAATTTTTAAAATGAAAAAAATACTACTTTATATTCCTCCCAAAGCTGTTGGGGCTGTATAGGGCAAGAACAATCACTCTGCTTTAGGGTTATAAGACACTTAAGACGCTTTGGAATTCTTATAAGTACTGCCAATGTATGCTTCATTGGAATTGGTTAAGTACCTTGGTAGGGTGATCTATAATTTCTCAAGCCAGGACACTTCTAAGAGTGAAAGGGACATTAACTCCCTGAGACCCCAGGACAATAGGCATAAACTGGGCATGTACTGACCTAACCAGGATGTAGGGTTCCCCTCACTTTAGGAAGAGGCAAGCTTCTGCTCTGTTTCAATATGCCACTTCTAATTCATTTGTCCCAAACAGAAGACAGAAGTAACAATGAACTTAGCCTAGATAAAAATCTGTCAAACTCTCAGATTCCTTCTGAATATAAACATGAAATGGCCCCCCTAAATATTTCAGTAACTAGGTTTTTTCCTTCATAGTTTAGTACAAGCACAAATGACCATTTACTTTGGTCATAATGGGGCCATGATATATTAAACTTCTACCCAAATATGTAGATTAAAGGCTTTGTATTTACTTACTTTAAATATTGACCACAGGGACCAGCCTGGTGGCATAGTGGTTAAGTTCACGCACTCCGCTTCAGTGGCCCGGGGTTCATGGGTTTGGATCCCGGGTGCAGACCTACACACAACTCATCAAGCCATGATGTGGCGGTGTCCCATATACAACAGAGAGGAAGACTGGCACAGAGGTTAGCTCAGGGCCAATCTTCCTCACCAAAAAAAAAAAAAATGTGACCACATACTTATAACAGAGTATTCAAGAGTCAAGTAGAAAAATAAGGTCCAAAACAAACTTTATTTATATAGGGATAATAAAGATATTAATAACTCAAATATTGAATAATTAAGCTTTGGGTTGACTAGAAGTCCATGATTCACCAAGAATGTTTTATGGCAGCTGTATAAAACTACATTTGGTATTTTTCTTAGTTCTCTGGTATTCTTCAAGCTTGCAAAGATTCATAACACTTTAATGATAGCTTGTTGAACAGCAATAAAAAGAGATGATGTCCTTAGAAGTCAGTCTCTGACAAAAAAGACATTATATCCAAGCTCTATCAAAGCCCCAGCCAGTAAGGCCCATAAAGGAATGAAGACATAAGAAAGATTCATGGTAGTAAACTGTTCCAGTTTAGCACAGAGTGCAAGGCAAAAGGCTAATTTAAGTAACATTGCAATGAGGTACCAGGCTTTTTTTTTAATATTGTGTGATCCATGTCGAGGGTCAAAGCCAGACTTACATCGCCCAGCCATTTTCACAATCAGCATGACAAGAAGTATAGTGTCAAATATCCAGACTGGAATAAATATGAGGAACCAGTTCCAAGGTGCCTTCTCATCCAGTTTCAACACCAACATGATCAGGAAGAGTAATGTGAAAAGCCAGGTGAGTAGTACTCTCTGAGCCAAGGACATTCTCATTTAAACAGTTTAAAGAGGCTGTTGCAGAGTCGAAAAAGGGGAAATATACCCTAAGAGAAGGAAAAAAAAATCAAGATTGTTTTGATACCAGGAAAAAAAAACAACACTTCCATTCCTGGTGAACAACACTGGGTCTTTCCCACTCACAGATTTCCTAATTTTGAAAATATTCTACCATTCTTTCAAAACCTGTAAAATTTGTAGCCATCTTTGACAACATTATATCCATCATTCCTTATAGCCCATGACAAAATACCATAAAGTTTTTAGTATATCCACTGGGTGTAAGCTCTATTTAAAATGTCTCAAGAACAGGGTTCCTTTTCATTGCTATGACTCAAGTCAGGCACTCATGACTTTATTCCTGCACCTCAGAGATGTTCTTAAGCTCTTTTTTGTACATTTGCACATCTATAAATTTTCATTCAATTTCAAGGAGTACTAAGAAAAAGCATTCAAAATCGAAGTGGTGAAAAAGGAGGAGGTGGTATCAAGCCAAGAGAGGAGAGTTTTAATAAAGAGGTAATGGTTAGTAAAAATTAAGACATTAAGTAGAATTAAGTTTGTAAAGAGATCACTGGGCTAAATAATACAGAACACATTGATAAGAATGGATTTTCATATAGTTTATGGATCTTATATTTTTAAATTATATTTTCTCATTAAAATTCTTATAAATACATATTTTCTTAGTCTAAAATTTTTTTCTTTTTAATAATACTCATTTTTTTTTCAGTGAGTGATATAGATCATGATTTTTTACTGCTTGTTATCCAATAATCAAGACTACTTAATAAACTTCTGATGTTTTGTGATTATTAGATGCTAAATTAGTCAATAATTGGGCTATTTCTTATATCCCTATTCTGTCTTACTGATCTATATTTCTCTTTTACATTAGTACTCTATGACTGTTACTGGATATGTGCTAGGATATGTTCTAATATCTGGAAGGCCTAGTACCTACTCACTGTTTTCTTTTCCATAATATTTTCTACTATTTTGCCCTTTCATTTTTTTCAATGCTAAAATCACTAATTCTTAAAAACTTGGAATTTTGATTTGGAATGCATTAACCTATAATACTTAGGTATAAGCATTTATTTAATCTTCACAAATAGGTTTACAGTATGTTCTATACTTATTCAAGTTTTTTATATCAATCTTGTGACCATCTGAAAAAGGGTAAGTAGAATGGGAAATCAGAAGCCAGAGTGCATGCAGTTGGATGAGGACTTAACAGAAGATAATGAAATGCAAACAGTTGATGACATTTTATTCCCCTGAAACATCTGGAGAAGAGAAGATGAAAGATAAGATATATAATGAGATTGATAAAGGGTCAAGAAGAAATTTTCAGTAAAGGAGGAATCTAAGTATGATTATAAACTGAGGGAAATAAGCCACTGGAGAGTGACAGATTGAAGATGAGAGAAGATACTTGATGGAAAGAGGAAAAGATCAGAAGGTGATGGGGATGGTAACAAAAGCATGGGTGGTAGGAGCAAAAATGAAGGAAGATAAGAAATAATGGTGCAGAAACTGGCTAGATGAATCAAATGCCCTAGACTAGCATGTTTAATTAATTATTTTTTAGAACTAACTTTGATGTCTCTGCTACATCTCTACTACTGTACACAGTGGGTGGCTGTCATGGTGCAAAAATATATCTCTTTTATTTCAATAGTGATATATGAGTCTCCTAACTCCCGTCTTTCCCCTTATACCCATCTGCTTGCACTCAACTTGTTTGCTTAGCTGGCAGATGCTTCACGCTGCAGTATGAAAAGCAAAGGCTTTTGCTCCCAGGACGGCATTTTCTGTGCTGGTCTCCTTTCATGGCCAGAGGCTGCCATTGCAGGATGTGGGACTGAGTTTGGGAGAAGAGGTGGAGGGATGTGTGCTGATTAATAACTGCAGATGGATTTCATCCTATAAATTAAGTTCCTATAAATTATAAATTTCATCCTATAAATTAAGCTCAATCCCGATCTCCAATCTATCTGGTCATTTTTGTGAACCTTTAAAAAGTTTACGATAAAAAACTTGCTTATATATATCTTTTCCACCAGCCATTGGATGTCAAGCTTCATTTTTTCTCATAGAAGACTGAGTAGGAACTGCTCATAGGAAGGGTAGCTGCACTCAACACAGGTACTTGAGGACTGGAGGTGGAAAGGATGCAAAGAACACAGTCTTGTGGTTACAAGTTTTATAATGTGGGATGCAACAATGTTCTGTATACACTTGTACCAAAATGCGCTCAACCAGGAAGCACTCTGCTGGTATTTAAATAACGCTTGAAGGATTGTGGAACCCGGGCTACAGTGATGACATATGACTCCAATTTTATTAATTTATTAATAAACCTTGATTAATTGAAGCAATCGTATTTGTTTCCTCCTACCATTCTTCTTGCTCCTCAAGGGAGGGGGTTGCATACTCCAAAACAAAAATCTGCTTAACTAAAATACGTCCCACTTGAGGTGGTTATTTCTGGTATCTGGATGACAGTTATTAGTTCATATGCTTCCTGATCCATTGTTAAAACCTCCTGCGTTGCCCCGACATGGAAATCTAAAGGACCCTGCCCCCAGCTCCAGCGTCTCGGTATCGGTTGTGTGTGGACTCATTAATCTGTCCCTGGTACTCCCCACATCGCCCCCATTTCCCTCTTCTCACTACCACCAGTAACTGTGCGTGAACTCACCTCATCCCACAGACAGTTCTGCTTAATGAGCCCAAAACACTGAATTCCCCTAAATAACGAGTCACTTTCAAAAGGCCCTGCTGCAACAGCCTTGGCCAACTTAGGCAGCCTTCAAAGGAACAGCGTTCTGCTGACAACCTCTCTGATTTTCGGGCCTACTTGTCCCTAGAACTTCAAGACGTTCCTAAGCTATCCTCGCCCTTCGTCCTCCAACGCCGACGGTCCGCCCGCGGCGCCCTATCTGGACTCCCCTCATTCTGCGCCGTGGGCCCAGGACATTGTGGAGTCGAACGTGGTTCCGGCACGATAAGATTCACAATGCACACAGAAGCCTGGTGCCAAGAGGTGTATGTACGTTTGGGGCCGGAGTGTAGGGTGGGGACGGCGGCCCGGCCCACCGCGGCACCGGGGGACCAGCGCGGGCACGGGGACAGGTGCACTCGAGGGCTGCCGGCCCGTCGGACCCTGCACTCACCTGGCAGCGCCACCGGCCGGGGAGCGCAGAGGGGCGCGAAGATCAGGACATTCGCCAGTTTGGATCCTTGGCCTCTTCCACACTTTTTCCCCCATTAAATCCAGAACCCGTCACATGATAATCAAGTACAGGATCTCAGTTCCGCCTCTCCAAACGGCCGTGGCAGAGGCTCCCCCAGTTCTCCTAAGGGCCGCGCCCACATCCGGGGCAGGTTCTCCCCGCCCCCGGGCCTGCTCTATAGGTGGAGATGACGCCAATCTGAGCTCACAGGCCCCTTTCCCTGCGGTAATTGGGCCATTTGGTCGCCAGTGCAAACCAACCGACCTTTTCTTACGTTTGGGTTTGTCAAAAGGCGGGAATAAAACAAGCCACTCGGCCCGCCTCTCTACTGCTACAGGCTAGGCGGAAAGTCAGTCTAAGCACAGCCTGGAGCGTCCGTGGCCCTATTGGGTCCCCAGGTGCCAATCACACCGGCCGGCGCTCGGCTCCGCCCCCGCAGGGTGCCCCGCCCCCTCGCGCGCCCCGCCCCGCCCGCCCCGCTGCGCGCGGAGACTGCGGGCTCCGGCGCAAACTCCCGCGGGAGAGGGGGTGGGGCGTGGGCCCCGGAGGCAGCGCTCGGTCGGCAGCCTGGTTCTGGCTGCTCGGGCTCCCTCGGCGGCGGCGGCGGTGCTCGCCTCCGTGTCTCCCGCGCGCACTCCGGCCGCCTCCTAGCGGCGTGGCGCCCGCTCCTGCGGTAAGAGCCGGCATCCCCGCGCGCTCGGGCGGGCTCTGTGGAGGTCGCTGGGTTCTGACAGAATCTTGAGGATGCAGCAGGACGAGGGAGGAGAGGCGGGCGGGATGGAGGTGGGGGCTCCGGGGCAGGCGCCTTGCCCTCCGCCGCCGGTGACTTCCCCGGCACCTGCGCGCGGAGGTCAGCCGCGGCCCCCTCCCATCGTTCGGCCGCAGGCATAGGCTCAGCCCCCCAGCTCCGAGCCCGCTCTGTCCCCGAGCCTGGATGGTGACGGGCCGGAGCCCTGTGCCGCCGCCCGCCCCTGCGCCCCTCCCGCGGTCCCTCTCTTCGCTTCCTTCCCCTGGCGCCGTGCTGGGGGCGCGTCGGTCCTGGAGGGCGTGCGGGGGCACCGGGGGGTCCGCGGGAGAGGTCGGGTAGCGGCCCCGCGCGCTCTCGAAGGGGCTGCAGGGGGGTCGCTGCCCCGCTCTCGCTGAGCGGCAACAGTTGAGTTTTCCGATTCCAGCGCTGCCTGCGGGCGGTGCTGAGACCCTCGCGCGGGCCTCGACACCCGGGTAGTTCCCGTCTGCAGACAATACCGCGGTCCATCGGCGGGCTCACCTTCTCTTGTTTTTATCCGCCTGAGGTTGACAGCCAGCGTCCTGGTATTGTTCCTTCGACTCGTGGCTTTCTAACTCAACACCTCCTTGTATAACTTTGGGGCTCATACTGTCACTGATCTATCACCCTTTTTATTTTTAGCCTGGGGGGAAAAAAAAAAAGGAACTGCTTTATATCAACATATACTGACTAGGGAAGTAGAGAAACTGGAACAATTTATTAATCTCAGTATGTACATACCAAGTAGTTTTTAAATTCGTGGTGAATTTATTAAATATTTTGTAATTTACACTTGCTGTCGTTCTTAATGTTATATCCTGCTTAGTTGGAGATTATTTTATTTGTGGTACTTTGATTTTATAGTTTTTAGTTAGCTTTAGCCAACTAGACATTTTCAGATTTTTCTTTTTTTTTTTCCTCCGCGACTTTGGCTGTAGCCAAAGTCTGAGAATTTGGAAATTATGCACTTTAGCGTAAAGAGGCATAAAATAGCATAACAATTTGAAATCCTAACTTTTTGGAGTAAGGGTTGCTAAGTTTAAGAGAAGGAAATGGGTATCCCCTGTCAGTTGTAGTGGCTCAGCCTCCAGGTTCCCAAGGAAAGGAATCTAGAGGTCTGGGGAGAATGAGCCAGGCCTGAGACCAAACAAAAGGTGGTTCCAGGAATATTTCTTGCTGGGAAAATAGCCTGCCTCTCACACAGGTTAGTTGTCTGTGTGCATCAGTTAGTGTTGTTAGCAGGGTAGGGAGTGTCTGTGTTCTCATTTTCACCACTTTCTGGTAGGGTGTGAAAATGTGGTAAGCAAATCAAGTATAGCATATAGTTGAGGCACTCTTGCATAGTCAAGCCTCCAAGAGTAAACTTTTTTGAGTCCCAACCGACACTGGACAATTGGCCCTAAAAATCAAGTAGGTGGCCTGAGCAATTTTTAAACCATGAACCTTTTTGGCTAGTTCATTTAATACAAAATTGCAAGGAATTTGTCATGAAAAGGGCTTTACTAGACTGAGCCAAAGAAAATTTAGGGTGGCATGTAGAAAAAATGAGAATCAAAAGATAGTTGGATTGCTTATGTATTATCTCATTTAATCCTTATAATCCTATGAGGTAGGTACTGTGGTTCCTGTCCACCCTGTTTTATAGATGAGTTAACCAACACTTCAGTTAACTCATTTGTTCAAGATTTCTCAGCTAATAAGTTGGTGGAGGTGGGATTCACATCCAAGCAATCTGATTACAAAGCCTGTATTCCAAGCCATTATACTTGAACACCACAGTAAAAGTGGCTTCTTAGAGACCTGGTAGAAGGAGACTAATCAGTGGAAAATAATGCTGTGAAACCGTGAACTGAGTAAGATTATTGTACATATTCAGTAACACTTTGAGATCATTGTGTAATAGGCACTGTTGAGTGCTGCTGGGGATGTAAGGCTAGAGTCGCCTTCCCTGTCTTTGAGGAACATTCCTTTCATGGGAGAGAGATATTTGAACAAATGATAATACAGTACAATATATACTATAAGAGAGTGCTGTAGAGTCTATGGTTTCATGGAAAGAGAATTCAAGTTTAGGCACCAGCGTTTGAATTCCTCTTCAGCTTTGTGACCTTCAACATGATACCAAACCTTTTCCAGCTTCAGTTCCCCCGTCTAAGCGGAGAGGATAATACTTCAAAGGGAGTATTAAGCATTAAACAAAATGTGTAAAGTACTCACCCATTGGTAACCCCTGAATAAAAAGGAAGGAGTGAATAATTTTAAGGGACAGAGTAGAGAAGTGGTTGGAGGTTTAGCAGGGAGTTGTCACTGGAGCATTAAAGGGTGAGTGGTAGTTTTTATTGGTAGGGAAAGAAGGCGTTCTACACAGAGAGAACAGGAGGCAGGGTCTCAGAACAGGTATATGGATTGTTGAGGGAATGGGAAGTAACTGTGGCTTTGTATAAAAAGTATTTGTGGAAATAAGACAGAGAAAGACAAATACCGTATGATTTTACTCATATGTGCAAGATAAACAAACATGCACACACATAGATAAGAACAGATTGGTGGGTACCATAGGGGAAGGGGGTGGGGAGAGGGCGAAAAGGGTAAAGGGGCACATGTGTATGGTGATGGATGGCAACTAGACTTTTGGTGGTGAAAAAGGTGCAGTCTATACAGAAGTTGAAATATAATGATGTACACCTGAAATTTATATAATGTTATGAACCAAAGTGACCTCAATAAAATAATTTAAAAAAAAGTTATTGTGAAGTTCAAATTTAAATGGTAATTGTATATAAATGTGGCTGGGCAAAGTGAGTACTACCCTATTTTGGTGGTTGGAAATTATATACTTAGTACTAAAATTATAGGAAAACCTCAACACTTTGTGCATTGATACATTTTTATTTAATATTTACCTTTTAATACTTATTTTCCCCAGTGTCAATTAAAACTTCATTTTGAAACGTGTCTGCCTAAGCAACTATTTCATTGCCATATTTCATTCTAAGCCGTAAAGAAGACTGACACCACTAGAGGCATCTGCACTTAATTTGTGGAATGTATTTTGGGATTAATTAAAAAAGAAGAAGAATCTTAGAGTGACTATTGCTTTCCCTTAACCACTTTACCTAGTCTGTAGCCACAGAGTCAGTATTGCAAACTACCCTTTGCGTGTTTGTTGACTGTCTTTTCTGAACCCAAACCTGAGGTGTGACAGTCGGACATAGTGTTTTAAGTTGGAACTGTCCTTGAAAATGCAAGAAAAAGTCCCACACTTATATCCTCCCCTCAGG